GCAATAGTAATAATACCACCATCGATTGAAATGATAGCCATGACAATGCCGATAGTCGTAATAACGATGATAATGATGAGAAACATGTTATTATTGCTATGGTCATTGCTTCTGTTGCTACGATGCTCACCCTGAGGCAGGCAGCAGCTCAGGCCGCAGCTGGATTTTTCATGTCTTCTTGGATCGAGTCTGTTTGCCTCGCTGTTTCTTGCCTCAGCTGTGCTTACTGCGGCACAAGACTCCTGCTGAACGTGACAAACAAGACTCACTCGTCAAGTCCACCCAAGGAATCCGTCAAAGCACTACTGCAACACAAAGCGATCCAAGCATTCATGAAAGGCAAGCGGCTGAGTCGACCATCTGGCCCTGCCGGAGTTACTGCTGCTCGTTTCTTGGATTTGGCATCTGCTCCTGCAGTCCTGAGAAGTTGAAGTTTCGAAGGGCTTCTAGGCGAAAACATGCACAACAACCGCCACGAAGCTGAGCTTCAGGCACAGGCAACCTGAGTTTCTCAATATGGGAAAGCTTCCGAAATGCTCTACTCTCGTTGCAACATCACCTCACGATTCGTTACCAGCTGTGGGTGGTATTTGTGATGTCCGCTTCCCGGGCTGAAAAAGCCTCTGGGGGTTGCATGGCGTGTCGGGTGCAAGTGCCCACCCGGAGAGCGACACCGGATTTCAAAGTCCATTAGTTCGCTTGGAAATGGGCCCAACATGCTGTGAGGGCTTCGTTGTTTGCTATGATCAGGGATCCTCGAAAGTGGCTGTGCTTCCTAAAGCCGAGTCAGAACGAGGAATGCTGGAGTCGAGTGGAATAGGCCTTTCTAGCTTTGCCGTCGCCGCGTGAACGGTTTCAGTATGTTTCGGTTATAACCTCGAAATACCTCGAAACACATCCGTGAGATCGTCAAGAGCTGTCCAGACATGCTTTCGGCCGGTGACTGCAAAGCTTGGATTCCTGCACACCTGCAGCCAGGGCCTTCTGCAACGCAGCGCGGTGGGAGCAAGAGCCCAATCCTTTCCAAAGGTGCTTGGTAACGTGTGGCGGGTCCCAGGGCCCACAGACTGACTATACGCATGTAACTGCTCAGCCATCGTGGGCCCTACCGATCTGTCTCTGGAGCTGCGAAGACATCATGGCCCTGCCAGCAGCGGACAGGTGGACAACCTGCCCATGTCGCAGCAACAGGGAACACCACGCACGACACAACTCGAAAGCACCTGACGTACACCTTCATGCATACAGTTTGCAACTGCAGTGTCTCGGCTCAGAAATCGCAGCCAACTGGGCCTGTGATAGCATTCGTGTCGAAATGTCCTGGGGGTCATGGATAATCGGCCTGCTTGTCTTGCAGCTGGTCGCCCTGTTCTACCAGCACCGGTACCGGCCATGTCCTCCAAAAGCGCCTTCCATTGCTTGGGTGCTGCTGCGACAGCGGCCTGGCATCGCACCCCCATTCGCAGGTGTGGAGAGTGCCTTCAGAGCAGGAGTCCTCATTCTCTGCGAGGTTGGCTAGCTTGACTAGCCTCGGCGAGGCATTCTGGCGTGGCACGGCTTACCGACATCTGGGAGTTTCCGAAAATTAGGGGTACCTTATTTCAGGGTCCTTATAACAAGGATCCTACTATTTAGGGTACTACATTAGAGCCCCCTATTTTCGGAACTCCCATCTTCTCCCGCTGCCTGGGGCCCCAACTGATCCGGGGCGAGGCCTTCAGCCGTGTCGGTTGCATCCTTCGTCCGAGGCTCTTTTTCATCGACACCCGGCAGATGCAAAGCGACGGCCTGAGCAGAAGTCTTCTGACTGGAGGCTGGTGGTGTGCTCCTTGAGAGGACCTCTGCAGCTTGGAGCTCTTTTCCTTCTGGATGCTGCCGATGGTTGGCTGGGGGGGGGGCCTCTGGCCAGCTCGATATCAGTTCGACACCAGTCGGCTCCTTCAAGCTTCCGTCTTTGCGATCTGAAAATACATGCTGCATTCCCTGCGACTCAGCTTCCAACCTGCAGGAAAACGGGCGTGACCTGGTGGGCTCCGAACCGCAACCGAATTCCCAAGTTGCAGTGGCCGCTAGTTTCTTAAACAGGTCGGCAAAGCTACCAGGAGCTGCTTTGCAGGGAAAGCTGGTAGCCGCCGTAGCAACTCTTGAGCAACTGCCTCTGCTGTAGCTCGTGGCTTGTGCTGGCTCATCTGTAGAGGCAACGTTGATGCGACACGAGATAAAGAAGACTGACGAGAACAGCAGGTCGGCAGAAAGAACTGCGTTTCAGGTTCTGGCTTCGCGCAGCTCCTTCCAGCCATGGCCCAGCGTTGCCAGAACCTGACGTCGTGTAACATGTAAAGCATTTGACACCTCAGTAACTCGAAGAAGCGTTGCAGTCTATACTCAATATATTGTGCAGTTGTTTGGTTTTCCATGCCCACCTTCATGGCCCAAACAGCGGTGTCGGCAACTCACCACGGGCCCCACAACAAGCCTGTGATCTGCTACTTGTAGCTACTGTACCTCGAAACAAACCCCCCACAAACACTTGGAGACGCTCGGGCCACTGCGAGGCCCGCTAGGTCTTCAGAACCTGAACTTCTCGCGCAGAGGTTCTGCATCGGACCAAAGTACAAAGGTGACCAAATGCGCAAATGGCGCAGGCTCGGCTTTGGCTAAGGTCTGTGCCAAGTTGCCCCAGCTGCGGAGTCAAAACCGTCTCAGCCTCATGCAATGGGCACAATGTCAGAGAAGAGCAGGTTCTGCAGAAGATTGCGGAAAACAATCGCTTTGCATGTCCGAGGACAGTAGGGTCACGTCTCCAGCTTGTCTTAATCCGAGACCCCTGCTGCTACTCGCAAGGTGTCTTTGACCTGGCAGTTAAAGAACAAGCGCCCGCGACTGCATTCTCTGCTTGAGGTTGGAAGATCACCGGCTTTCCGTTGACCAGCAGATCATATGGCATGAATCTGCAAAGCCTAGCCCTCAAGACACAGATCCATCTGTCCTTTCTTCGAACTTCGAACCCTGAAAGACCCTCAACCTCGCGTCTGTGACCTCAGCAGGCAGCCCTCCGCGCCGGCGAGCAACGGCTAGCAGCAACTTCACCACCTCAGATTGAGAGGGTGCTACCATGCGGAATCTATCCAAACTTCCTGCTAGTGGCCCAATGGCATTCACCCTTTCAGCTTCTGACATCCTCCACACACAACTTCTCCAGAACGCTGGCAGCGGCGGCCGCCTGTCAAGGGGCTTCACCCTGAGTCAACTACCATGAATCCTAAGCCACCCCTGGGTACTACACAGGCCGGTAGCGCAGTTCCCGGCGCCAAGGATTCGAGAAAGTCGTGCTTTGACGACCTGAAGCCACTGCTCTCCGAAAGGTTGCGTGTGTTTTCTTGCAACTCTTCTGAGCACGCTACAACAATGCCGCTTCCAGCAACAGCTCCGGCGTGAAATCGTGGAATGAATCCTGCGACTAGTATACTTAGCGCAACTTTCTACTCTGCGTGCGTCCGAACTCGAAAACTACTTCATGCAATCCTTGCTGGCAAGAATTTCAGCAACTGCTTGAAGGTCGTCAGCCTGTACGAGCACTGGAATCAAGCACGACCATATGGCTCGACATCCTTCAAGACGGTGATGTGCCCAGACAGAAAGCCAACTACAGTACTGCAACGGAACAGCTTTCTGAAGTGACATGCAGGACAATGACTCGACGAGGCAAGGGTGCTCCAATCAACAAGCGGTCTCGATTGCAGAATTGCAAGTCAAGAACGACATCGGGCCACAATGTGCCTTTCGTGCGTAAATAGCACCGGACCCTCATGCACAGCTTGGTCGCAGCTGCATCTTGTCGGCAATTCCGTATCATGACGAACTCGGATCTCGACAGCTTGCGCGGTTGCGCCACGCACGCTAACGGATTCAAACTTAGCGAATCCCTGGGGTCGTCTCAGTAGCGTGACCAGAAGAGACCAACGAATAAAGGAATATACGTGTCGCCGCCGCCTACACAGACGGTCTGGCAGCGGCTGAGTTGGGGTTGGCGGTGGAGTCAGATTTAGTCAGTTAGCATGGCGATCGCGGTGGGTGCAGCAGCAAAATTGCGGCTGGGGATGCTGCTATGCTGCCGGGCCGGTAGAGTCGCAGTCGCCCTGTACTGCAGCTCCTTTCCTGGCGCCGGTTTCTGAAACCGTCGAGGCCGAAGATGCCTGCCTTCTTGCCACAGTGGCAGCACAGAAACTGCACGCTCGCATGGCGCCGTTGCTTGGTTCAGGAGGTCAAGATGATGCGCAGTGCACGCGTCTTGTAAGATCTTGTCTTGAATTGAAACGCATCGCATTCAGGACGACACAAGGCAGGAAAGCCACATGTTGGAGAGAAAGAGGTCTTTCAGCACATCTGCAATCGGTTCAGCAAGTTCTGCCTGGCCAGGTCCGGCTTTCTGTGCCAGCACCAGCAACGCTTCGGCCTCAGCGCAGCCGCTGCAAAGTCAGAATGCCAGGCTATGCCTTCTCTGGTACTGCGATGCAGGACTAGGCTGGCAGCAAGCTTCACGGGCTTTGCCGTGGTAGACATCCGCCTGCACCACGATGTCTCTTACCAGATGCGCCGCTGTCGACTTTGGGAGGCTGCGGGACGTGTGGCTTATCGCCGCGACATTAGTTTTTGTGCATGCTCCCTCGACAGCTGCATTGTGCCATCCCCAGACACGAACCCCGTGGCAAAAAGGAACAGGAACCTGAGCAACGCTGCAGCAGCCGGCAGCCTGCCAGCCGTCAGGGGACAGCAAATTCTACTCCAGAAGGAAAGTCTATAAAGCCTCAAGACTTTGCAGGGCTTTGGGCTAACTCTCCGGATTCCAAACGATGCCGTATGCTTATCGGGGCTTCTTTCTCTCTCTTACTTCCTTCCTTCCTTCGGCTGGGGACGAGTCCGATGTTGCTCGGAACCGCGCCTAGGCGCCCCCCTTTTCTGTTTGCTTTGCAGAGTCTCTCTCTGCCGGTCTCTCTCCCTCTCTGCCATGTCATCCCGCAGGGTCTCGCTACGAGAAGGCACACACGGCAGGCTAGACTCTAGACTATCAGGCTGTGCACTTAAAGCAACAAAGTCGCCAGGACCTAGAAGGGCCTAACATGCAAACCCATCCTCATGAAGATCGCTTGTGCGGAGGCCTCACTCCAGCTTGTGCCACTTCACACACCTGTCAATGCAAGGGGCGGCGACAATGGGTTTCCTACTCAGCCTGCACATAAGTGCCATGCAGGCTTGGATACTTCAGAATTGTGGGCTAGGCAGAAGAATCAAAAACGGTGTAAATCTGAGGCCCGAACCGTCTCAACGCAAGCATCCGTGGCAGCTACGTGGTCTGCGGGACCACCTCGAGATGTGCTTGCAAGGCTGCAGCACCCATACCATTCCGTTGCATGGCAGTGAACAATGGCCAGGTTTGCATGGCCTTGTCCTGCTAGTGTTTTGAGGATTGCCGTGCCAGCTGCTGCAGCCGTGTTGGTGCTGCTCCTGGCAGCGGCAACGCGCAAAACCTGGGCATGCTGCAGCTTTGCAAGGCAGCTTAAGCTACTGCGCACAAGACGAGTGCAACGGAAGCAGCGTGGCAGTACAACGGCGTGCATGCATTCATCACGTTTCGATCTCTAAGCTTTCTGCATCGCGCTGCTGCTTCAGGCTGCCAGCGGCAAGCCTCGTTTCAGTGCTACAGTTTGCAGGAAATGCCTGACACCTTCTAACTAACTTCCACGAAGATCAGGACAAATGGAGACCCGTTTCAAAGCACCGGCAGTCTTGAGCCCAGAAGTGAAGTGCAGGATGCAATTCACCAGGGCCCCTTGCAAGTATCCTGTGTCTGCAATTCCTGCATTGTCTTGTTGCCATGGCTAGTGATGGCCATCCGTGTGCATCCAGGATCACTGCCTGCAAATATCGCGAACCTAGAACCCATCCACCTTACATGAAGGATGCCTGCGTAACTCTTTTCGGCCTACGCTCACGGGGATCGGCTGATGCTTATCGCTTTGGTTCATGGTGCAGAAGATCTTCCTTTTCCATCAAATGAGTCAAAGCTTCAGCAAACGCCTGAGCTTCAAACACACAAAGCAGCAGAAGACGAAATTCAATGCACTTCAAACTTCGAGCACCGTGCCTGCCATTCGTTTGGCTTATGCTGATGAGCAACACTGAGATTCCAAAGGCTATGCATACTGTCACTACAACAGTTCTCTGCCACACCAGTCCACCCCGAGGTGCGGGCAACTCCACACACGATGTAGCCCTTGGTCGACAACGGAGTGGGAATGCTTCCCCTATGATTCGACGTCTCTTCTTCCAAGACCTACTAGTATGAATTTCTTTCTTACGTCACCTTGAGATATTTATCTCGACAGCACTACTAGACTACCAAAAGTCTTGGTCTTGTCTGTCATAAACGATGCGACCACCTCAAAGCAATATTCTTCGAATGAGTTCTACTGCGATTTCTTACCAGGAGCATCAGCTGCGTGGCTTCTTGCCCGTCATCTCCCGCATATCCAGCACGCTTAGCAAGATCGTGAGCATCAGATGGTAGGCTCCTTGCCCGACATCGCCCAGCCCGGAGCGTCATCAGCATCAGCCGCTAGACTTTCGGCCGGCATCCCATCCGTTTAACAAGGATGCCCAGAGGATGACCCTGCACCGAAAGGAGTCTTGGTTGAGGAGCAGCAGCCTGCTGGCAGGGGCATCCTTGTTGGATTGATTAATCTCGCGTGCTGTCGCGAAACACGGAGTCCGGCAGCATCTGAATCTACCTGCTTCCTGCCGGGCAGCCCCAGCCAGCAAATATCCGGATGAGGTCCTCACCACATGCCACCGAAGCAGCAAGCATCCTGAGCATCAGCTGCCTGACTCATTGCCCGGCATCCCCGCTCAGCCCTTGTCCTGTGCATCAGCGGACTGCCTTTTTATCTCGCCGCCCACCAAAAGTTCATCAAAAATGCCCAGGCCCAAGCAGTTCATGCTGCTGCGTTTCAACCGGCGTCGCTCGCCCAAAGAAAGCATCATGAGCATCAGTTGGCCGGCTCCTTGCCCGACATCGCCCAGCCCCCACGCAACCCACGTCATGAGCATCATCCGTTTCACGGGGCATCCTCCTTATATGAAGCGATCTGCGTAGGGACTGGCAAAAGGCCGAGCAAATCTCATCACGGGTGATGCGGCGAAAGGAGGAGCACTGGTAGTTGGGCAGCATCTGTCCGGTTCCTGCCGGGCAGCCCCCAGCCAGCAAACATCATGCGGATCAGCTGAAGGACATCCTTACCCGATGACACCCTGCCAGCAAGCATCATGAACATCAGCTACCAAGCCCCTCGCCCGAGACGACAACACCCAAAACAGCTTCCGTGTCTCTCCGCCCTTTCTGGGACATGCCGATTGTCGATGTTCTGTCAAGGAGCTGGGCCTCACGAGAATCATGTGCCCATCTCCATACCGAGCACAACCTACGCAGTGAGCATCGTTGACATCAAAAGTGCGGCTCCTCGCCCGGGATCACCCCTTACTAGGTCTCACCCACGCGTGGAGTATGACTTCGCTCCTTGCCCAGTGACACCCACAGAACCCGGCAGTGTCGTGATCACCTGTCCGGCTCATAGCCGGGAGTCGGCTCTTTACCGGATGCCTGCCAGTTTGCATCGCAAGATCGCCCGTATCAGCCGCATCACGAGCCTCTGCTGCCTAGACGCGTGCACGAGCTTGGCGATCAAGCAAACATCAAGACGCCAGCTTCCACTTCTAATTCTACTACCACACACACTTCCACTTTCGCTGTTGCGATGACTGCTGCCGGTACTATTCCATACTGTCTACTGGGAGCTTTGCAGGAGCACGTCACGCCCAGCAGCTCCTGGGAGCGCCAAGAGCCTCCAAGGCGCAAGGCTTCGGATTCCAAAAATGAGGTTTATGCATCTTGGTCACAGTATGTGCCGGTGCTGCCTCTTTGGCTAGGCTTCATGTTTGCATGGGCTACATAGCACATCCTGGCTTTATATGCACGACGTCAACGAGTCGGGCCTTAAAGCCTGTACGTGCTCAAACATGGCATGTGCAAGCAGTGTGCAAGGTTGGTCGTTTAAGGCATCCACACACTGACAGGAATCGTCGTGACCACCCGTCTTCATCGTCATCATGGGGCTTCCAATGTTTTAAGTCTCGGGCACTTGTTGCTCCAGCTCTTGCAAGACGTGTCATGTTCATGATCACCACATTCACCACATCATCGCGAGACCGGCGCAAAGGCACCGTGGCCAGGAAAAGCCAGCCACAACAGCTCCGCTGATCGAAAAGGCACCGGTCTGACTACCGGCAACGGCAAATATACATATATGTATATGATTTGTATATATAATCAGACTTTGCGAGAGTTGAACGAAGTCAGCAGGGAAGTGGGCCCCTGAGCCTGGGAATATCCATGAGCGAGAAGCCAGCTTCCGCAAGTCCTCAGAAGTCAGAAGCAGGAACTACATGTAAGCACATCCCGTTGTACCATGGTATGCCGTGGTCTAACATACTACGCTGTGTTGTACTATGTTGTACCACGGGTATGCAGTATCATATTTTGGTGCACTGCACAATGGATCGAGGGCCCAGGGTCTCATCGACCCTTGCCCTGGATCTACCGTAGGCCACGCTTCGACGAGACTGAGGCATGTTCCGCCCTGGGAAACGGCACCCTTCAGCGCCTTTCCAGCAAGGACCCGGGCGGCCTGCAACATATGACGAAGGTTCAGGATTCGGGCAGTTTTGGCCGTGGCAAGCGGTCGTGACAATTCGAGTTGGCTGGCCGCCGTGCGCTGCACGAGGACAGTCTCGTCAGGGTCATCACCTTCGAGCGCTCAGCGGCATGCAATCAAGAACCTGGGAATCGAGCGCACTGCTTGCCTCCCAAATCAAGCACCTGAGCCGGCCGAGGTTCAGGTACAGTTTGCTAGTCTCGCACTGAACATGCAGTTTTCACCCGCGCTAGTTCGTGCTTCAGCTTTGCCTTCTCGGCGGCCTGCAGAAGTTCTGGTGCCGGGATGTCCACCGCCTCCTGGCTAGACTCCACAGCTTTCCCTCCCTGCAACGTCTCAGGAAGGAATTGGGCTTGATACATGTAGTAACCTAATCTATCGTTCTCGGAGATCCTTGGAGAGCGGTTTGCAGGTCCACGACACCCGCATTCTATCAAGCGAGGGGCTCATGCCGGCATCCCACGCAAAGTCGGGAAGGCGCCCAACTGGCGGGATTGCGAACAGCTAACCTTGGAGTCATGTGTCCTCCTCGTTTTTGTTCACCTCGCGCCTCGGCGCCACTAGGTACATGCCGACGAACACCCAAGAAGAGCATGCGGCTGTCCTGTCGTCAGCCGTGAAACCAGTACTTGTACCGTTCCGTCCTTCAAAACCGCCTCCGCAGAGACCTTCCTTTCCAACATCTTGAAGGAAGCTCTAAGACTCTCGGCTCTAGGTGCTGGGCAACGCCGCCAATAGTCGGATCTGGGCAGCGGTGGCATCTTCGGCCGCCTTGGGTCTTCCAAGCTTCCGTGAAGACTCCGCCCAACACGAGCCCAAGGCAAGTCTTATGCAGAAGCTCCAGTTTGCTTGCTTGCAACCAATTAATTAGCTGTGAATTCTAAGCTGTTTCAAGCACTTCGACCTCTTTTGCAGGCTCTTGGTTGGCTATCAAAGTGTTTCTCCCGAACGAAGTTGCAGGTGGCCGGTTTGTTGCCTACAGCAGTGAGTGATCCGTTGTCGTTGCTTTGCGTGGTGGAGGCCGGCGGTTGCAACGCTTAAATTCTGCCATTCTTTGACCTGGTCATTTCCAGTGAAACAGCCCAGAACCTGCAAATCTTGGGGCCTGCCTTTCTCGCTGGGCCTAGAACCTTCAAATCTGGTTAGAAACCCGGCCTTAAAGTCTGAGGCAAAATATGGACTGACCTTGCCACCATCCAGTCGACAGTTCTTCGTCTTCGCCTCAACCCTTAGACTTTAAAGGTGTAAACTTTATGAAGAGGTGAATGAGAAGAACCTCTACTGACTCTACTGCATCCTCGTGAAGCTTCGCGTGTTCTGGCCGAGACCCCGACCTCGCCATCACGGGACCCTGATTCAGGGACCTTGCAGCTTTCGGACAACAGCCAGTCGTGGAATCCACTGGTCTGCTTCTGCAGCAGAAGGTCAGGGCACCAGGCACTGGCAAGCGATGTCAGAGCCCGGGCAAGTGCGCCCACAGGCATCCGCTTCCTCAGCTCTGTCGACATGTCGCAGAAAGCCTCACTCTTCTTTTCTACCACCATGTCAACCACCACCACCGTCACCATGGCCGCCATCAGCAACACCGTCGCTACCATCGAACCGATCGCGTGGGTGATGCTACTGGTGACGATGACGATGCTTCTGTTGATGCATGCCATGACACCGTCTTCGTCATAGCCGTCATGACAGGGGGTGCTTCTGATAGAATCTTCAGCTGACGCCTTGGGCGTGGACAGTTCGCCCTCCTCCGTCTGTGCTACAGCTGCCACCACCTGTCACAAGCAAAATAATGTCTTGCTGCAGTGTGTTTCGGGTGAGTCACTCATGGCTAAAAAGGCTCCGACAAACTGTACAGTTGCGACTAGTAGCACTAGCATTAGCAGTCTTATTAGCATTAGCGCTTGTATGGATCCGTAAGAAGGTAGTTGCACCAGTATGGGTATTCGTATAATTGGCATTTGTATGATTTCCTAGTAGCAGTAGTAGTATTAGTTGTCTTACTCGCATTAGTTCTTTCGAACGCTTATTCTCCGACTGTGCCAGGCAAGGTCTGAAGCTTCTATCAACAGGGACGTGGTCTTAGTACTGGTAGTGGCCTTACCAGTATTACTCATACTCTCTTACTCTTGCTTTGATTTATTAATGGTGCTCGCACGGAGGCCTCTGCAGCCTTGGGTGTGGCGCGAAGCTGCTTGGCCAGCCTTTCGTGCTTGGGCCTGCCGATGACACAAGCTCCGGGGTTGCTGCACGCAAACGGCTCTGCACAGCCCACTTTTCAGACGGAGAGTTGACGCCTACGTCTAGACTACTGGATTATCGAAACGTTTGGGGTAGTTTGGCCCCTTGACAATCCCCGCGGCTGATGGTGCTCTCGCTGCTTGGTAACAACCGCAGTGCAACGATGGCGGAAGCTTTACCCTTCGTCCTCGCAGCAAGGCAGGTTCAAAGCCTCATCTTGAAGCCTTTTCGAGCTGCTGCGGGCATGGCTGTTCCATGCTGTTCTGCAGCACCGTAGCATACTTGCCCCTCTGTTCTTCAGCACATGGGAGCGCTGACTTGGGCTCGTGGTCATGGCTTCTCATCAGAAACCCGAAACCACTTCTTGTTGGGCTGCGTGGTGGCAAGGCTGAGTGCGGCAGCCATCCTTCTAACTGATTGCAAAGAGCACTGGGGTGCTTGCTGTGGCTTGCCTACAGTAATAACCATATTCTTGCCAATTGCGATGCCGAGGATGGCCTGGTGCTTCCCAAAGCCGTTTGTCGGCTTGAGAAAGCAAGATCTTTGGCCTTCTATGCCTGCTTCGTCCCACGAGCCCCCTTGACTTTGCAAGGTAGCTGTACAGGATGATGCTCTCTCTTGATACGCAAGAGCAACTTCCAGCTCTGGTTAAAGCCTTTTCAAATGGACTCTGCTATTTACACGATCTGGCCCAAGAGAAAACCTCGGCCGTTTGTGACTTTCGACTGTGCGCCGTGCAGATTGAAGGATGCAGGCAGTGTCTACTCTGTAACCAGGGAACCACCCATGGCACCGTCAATGAACAAAGAACCCACCCGGCAGGCAGCAGGCGCAAATGAAGGTCGTTATTCAGAGCAGTCCTTGGATTCGATACGCCCGATGTTCAGTCCTGACTCCACACGGCATGGCACTTTTGCTTGTTGGACAAGCAGCACTGCCGACAGCACGACAACGCAGGCCAGGGCATACACATCGAGCATGGCGAAATCGCGAAACCAGGACCTGCCCAGAAACTGCTGTATGCAAATGCAGGGGTTTGCAACCTTCCCTGGTACCCACACCAGGCAATAAGTTTACACAGACATACACACGTACGTTCACATAAGCAAGTATGTAAAGCATCTCTATACTATACACATTACACACACACACACACACACTAAACATGAGTATATGAATACATATGCTCTACATATACACATTCGTGGTGCCTACATAGATACGGACACATATTGACATGACGTTGGCCCCGCCATGCCTGAGTGTCGCAGGCACCTCGGTTACGAAGGATGTGCCAGCAACGACCACCCTTACAACCTACGTGGTGTAAATTTCCATCAACTCCTTCCTGCTGGTTGGGATATGTGGGGCGGGTGGTGTCAGAAAGGTTGCCTGGTTGGCGAGACAGAACCCGACCCCATGGCCAGATCGCGTCCGCGGTGTCCAACGACTGCGATGCATATCATGCTCTTGCAGGCCCTGATGCCCAGAGTTTGCTTTGCACCAGCGAAGTCGGTGAATGGGCTTCGCACCCCCGAGTGTAAGGTGGAGGGTGGTAGAGGAGCACACACATCCGGTCAGCTGCATCTGCCGATAAGTGGAGCTTGGCAACTCGCAGCTTCACAGCAGACAAGGGGAGAGACAGCGGAAAAGAGCAAATACGCGAAGGCCCACACATCATGTGCGAGATTGTGCAACTTGCCTTCGAAGCTTAGCATCGCCCCACAAGCAAACCTCTGAGCATCACCTCGCGCTGATTCTCTAAACCATGTCACGCCTCCCGGCTAGCAGCAAACTCCTAACTGACGCTTGCGTGCGAGGTGCACAACTTGCCAAACATTCCAGGCGATGGTGCCATCCGCGCAATCCGACGCCGACGCATGCCATCGCATGCCAACAACGCGAGCCCCAACATGACCTTTCCGATGTCAGAGTTGCAACTGGAACGCGAACAACTCGGAGCCGAGAAGCCTCCCATGGAAGCACAATCCGCCAACGAATGGCAGTAAATCGACGCGTGCCAGTCCAAGCAAGGGTACAACCGATCCCAACATCCAGACAGTAACACGCAGTGAACAATGCTGCACCCGGAGCAAATGCAGAACGCCCGCAGAGGACATCGAGGCACCTATCACCCACTGTACGCATGAGCAACGACTGACAATAAGCTCATCTTCCATAGAGCGACCGCTAACAGAACAGCCCATGGAGATGAAGGAGTCTCCGCTGTCTTTCTCGTGTCCTTGAGTGCAGGTGTTCATGATCCCAATGCCGCCGTGAAACCACCCTGGTCTCCACTTTATGTGCCCAACGCAAAGCCAATCAGTCCTGACCTTCTCTGTAGGGTATTGCACACCGAGCTCTATAGATGTTGAATTGGCGTAATAACTACTTCAAGTATAATTACCATAGACGGCAACATGAACTGGGGCGCCAAGGAGTCGCATCCTGCGTTGTCCTGTGTTGATTAAGATCCTACCCGAGCACGACTAGATTGCACGGTTGCCGAGTTGCCGGGTTGCAGCCGCCGAAGAACGCCGCGGAGCAGAGGGCCACATCCACTGCAGGCACCAGAAGGAGCAGCAAGGCCTGGTGGATCACAGTTGCATGTTTTGCGATTAGTCAAGATTTTGTTCGGCCGTTTGACTGCATACTCCATGTGCTTCATGGCTGTTTGGATGACCTGATGGAACAAATATCGGGACAGGAGCAACCGGCATGTCGTCCAGTCAAGTTTACCGGCCCGGATCTGCAGCCAAGGTGCAAAGCACACGGCAGCCCCGGCGAAGCCATGGTCCTAAGTTGCATACAGAGCCCCATCGAGAGCCGAGCAGACTCCGTGCCGGCAGACATCACAGACCCTGCAAGAGAGCCAACGCAAGCACCGAAGGGCTTGAGCGTGGCTGGGAAATGAGCGCCTTTCCCTTATGAATGATCGCGGCAAGTCTCCCATAGTGAAGCGATCAGCAAGATGATGGAAATGCGGGCGTCGAGGCCGATCAGGGGAAAAGTTACCTACATTTGCAGAATCCGAAAACATCCGGCATTCCAACCCATGTCCTCCTGCATCGGTGGGCCTTCATCAGAGGCAGCAGGGCCAAGCCTGCTACTGTCCCGACTGCCACGACAGCCGAAACCAATGACAGTGCCTTGCGACAAGATGCTGCAAGAGATTGGGATGACTTCGTGCGCATCTGATGAGTCCGGTCAATACGGCTCGTCGGTGTAACCACGAGGCTCCGACACATGGCCCGGCAGTTGCACCACTGTCACTGTCCTCATGGACATCTTCCGATTCCTGCATGCTGGTGTGCCGAGAAACCCGGGAGGCACGGAATAGCATCGGCCCTTGTAACAAACCAGCTTCCGCATGTTCTACTTTAATGCAACTAGCAGGGCGTCCGCGCTGTGGTCTGTGGGCAGGGGAATCAGAAGTGCGCCGACGACGCTCAACACCTAGTTGTTGATGCTGGTCAAGGCTGCCACTCGCCGATGATGCACCAGCACCAACCACTTTCAGCACATGCCCCGGCAGTGAAGTGAGTGCGGGACACAATAGCTCATGAAGTAGTAGAAGCCATCATGCAGCTTGATCTGAGCACTGCGAACACTGCTTCCAACTCCAAATTCTAGCTATTGTTGTTGCATGACACCGTTGCCTCCAAGTACAAATGTGGCTGGCAGAACAACCCGCAGATTGTGCCAGCGGTGAAGACATCCACTGTCGCCCACTTCGAGATCTTCTGAACAGCCCTGCCAAGCATGCTCGCAGCACGAGAGAGTCCGCCTGCATTGAAAACTCCGACACAATGCACCCCAGATCTTGCGAGACTCCTCGTGTGGTGTTGAAGCAGGGCAGTCTCACATATACGGCATGTCTGAGTCATGATTGCCGGCATGCACACAAAAGCATCAATCCCAAAAAAAGGGAAAGGTAGAAGAGTCCGAACGCCTGACTGCTCCGGGTGAAGAGAGCCCCCGAATTCTCAAAGCTGGGTGTGCGTAGCTCATGAACACGACCAACTTCGCAAATGGCATGAGAACCTTAGAGTGTTTCAGGAAACCGGTGTCAAGACTCCGAACATGGTGCCTGCATCTTGCAAGCTCCCGCAGCCACGCAAACCTCGAAGGCTTGAAGCTGTGGCCTGAGGCCTCCGCAGAATATCCCAGGATGATGAGAGCAGGCAGCAACATTCCGTTCTGGAACAGCAACAGAATCAATCCCAAGGTGGACTTCTCGACGTCAAGCACGACCTCATTTCAATACGCCAGCATCGACGACTACGGCAAACTGGTGCTTGGAGCTGAAGGGTGGCCTGACTCCCAAGTTCAAGTCCAGCGGCACTGGCGCCAACCACAGCTTTCGCGGAAAACATTTTGGTGACAATACCTTCAGTGGTGCGGAGCAAGGACGGATTTTACAACTTGATTGCAAATTGCAGAGCTCAGCAACGGATCCTGATAGCATGGCACTTTAAGAGCGCTGTGGCCACGGTGCCGGGAATTAAAAAAGCATATGCGGCCGTCAGTGCCTCAGCCGATATCGTGCAACTTATGCGGCATGGTACGCCATATCGTCACGAAATGTCACGAAGCCTGGGCAACATCCAAGGCGGAGGCAATCAGGCAAAGCAGTGTTTTCATTGAGATGACCTTGGCAGCTATACCAGCTACAGGAAAAAGCAGGCCAACGTTCGCCTTCGCTCGCAAGACACTTAACAGCTTGGCGGAGCTTGTACACACGAGGTGCAGCAGGGCTTAGGTGCAAGAGGATCTGAGGATCTTCAGTTCTGCCAGGTAGCAAACTTGGCGGAGTCTCCATCATCCATGTCCAATGCAACATTCCCGAAGGCCTCGGCAGGCAGGATCAAGCCGGCATGGCAGGTGCTGGTGGCAGCCCCAGGACTCCAGGAACCCGCATCGTTGACACACGGGCAAGGATCGATCGAACCCTCTTTTTCTCAAATATATGTATATATGTATGTATATATGTATATATATATATATGTATATATATATATATAACTATAATTAGAGCTCTCTATATATATGTGTATATATACATACATATATAAATAAATAAATATATATATATATATATATAGATAGATCACAGACCCTCTGTATACATAATTATATAAATATATAAACATGTATATTTATATATATATATATATAGATATATATAAAGACCCCCAGACCCTGATCCTCCACGGCTGCAGACAAGTGCGGAGTACTGCTGCACTTAGGCTGCCGCCTGATCGCTGCTCAGCAGACGAAGGTCTGTCTCGGGAGACAGCTTTGGATCTGACAGGGCCCGCTGCGGCTTAGGACTGAAACGGGGGCCTTCCCTTGCTACAACGGGGTCTTGTGGGCACGTTCTGGCAGATGTATGTTGATAATAACGGGATATTTATACCAAGTAGGGTGTGAATCTGCACATCGACAGGGGCAGAGCGGCCAGTGGCACCCCACCTTCAGACGAAGCTTCATCTGAAGAGACTCGTCGGCGCATGATCAGCATCCACCTGAGAGGAATATCGAGTATCGGCTGTTCTTGACCCAGCTCGGCGAGTGATCGCCAAACATGAGAAACCCAGGCTGCGGGCATGCCGATCGCTAAGCCGAGCCAGAAGAGACCTCGCTTCTCAGTCACTATCCGCGAAACAGCTCGGCTCGAGACTTCCCGCTGCCAGGATGCTGCAGGGCATCATGCCAGCTCCGGCGATGCAAAACAGCAGCCAACCTCAAGACGTCGAGACGCCGTCCGCAAGATGAAACCATATCTGCTACAGAGCAAGAGGCTGAGCTTCGTGCCCGCGGCGACTGATGCTGGAACATCTTGCCCAGACTTCCTTCACAACTTCAGAGCTGCCAGCTGCCAGTTGATGCAACGTAGTGCTGCACAACTGACGAACTTCCGTGCTCTTTATTTGTCCAGGGCGCCGTCTGAAGGCAGACAGGAGGTTGCCAAGAATGGCCGTCAAGCACCTTGAACTCAACACTCTAGACTGTGCTTGGTACTGGCACCATGAAACTCCAGAAATATGCTTCCACCACCCAGCAGTTTCGCCAGGGCAGCTGCACTGAACAAGACGTCCAGAACGCTGCTGACCGCTGAAAGAAGGCAGCGCGTTGCGTAACGTCCTGCCAACACCGAATCCCTACTCGAGCAGGTGCGCTGCAAATATGCGCTCCGCAAACCTGCATGATAAGGAGGTCGGGCGCTGGCATCGAACCTCGCAAGCGCACTTGCCCAAGTATGATATCAGCTGCCGAATCTAACCCCAGCCTAGCAGTCCTTGATGAAGACATTGCGCCAGCGGGTCTCGGAACTCCTGAGAAGGGCTGCAGCTTCTTCCAGCAAGCGCCCCGAATCGGCCTGGACTGCACATGACGTCACCTGGCTGCTCAAAGCGACCACCACTTGCAGCACCTGGGATCACCACCATGGCCCAGAGCCATCTCAAAGCTGACAGCAGGACTGCTTGTGCTTTCGGCTCCAAGTTGAACTGCAGTCGCGGTGCTGCATAAACTTGCAGCTGAACTCCCGGACAGAGTAGGTCGCAGATCATGGCCACTCCGGAGGCTCCATTGCTTCGAAATGGTGTCGGGCAGCACTTAAGTGGCCAATACGGAATAACATGCTACAATGGATACTACCGTTACTACCTTTCAATAGACCATCATCATCATATGCTATAAGACTTATTCAGGCAACTTGCAATCCTCCTCGGCTTGCAAGTCTGAAGTCTTCGTCAGGTCATCATGGTGACCAAGCTCAGCCAAGAGTGTCTGCGAGTGCAAGACTTTGAGTCGTGGTGACAGTTAGTTAACCTCTTCATGCCAAGGCCTGAGTCGCACCAGCTTCTCCTGCAATAAACAGTCTAACCCTGAGTTTGCTATTCCTCCGATGGCGGATACTGACGTCCTGGGGCTTGTACTCAAAGGTGGACCAGTGACCCTCGAAGTAGGCCTGCCATGCCAGAAGTGGAGTCTTGATTGTGCCACTCAAGACACGGCTTCTGCACTCTGATTCTGAGGTCCTGGAAGTCCTCCGCATCCCAGACAGGCTTGCCCATCACCTGATTTGCAACCAAGGACGAACACGGAAGTGCTGCAAGTAAGCGCGAGATGTACGGAGTACGCAGCGCTGAATGACTTCTCTCTGTTACTTCCCGGGCTTGCGTCTGACTCGCTTCACCGGTGGCCTCTTTGAAATGGCTCTTTACAGCTTCGTCCTCCTGCAGCTTGGAAAGGTCGATCCTCAACACCCGCCATGGTTGAGGCGGTTGAGGTAAATGGTGCAGTTTCAAGCACACTGAGAATCTCGGATATGGGCCAGGCGCCGGGCTCTTCCGCACCTGAGTTGCAATGCACATCCTGCTCTTCATGCTCCAGCATTTTTTTGAACACAAGGTTGCCGACCATAGTCTTCAGTTGTACATCGGCAGTGAATGCTTGAGAGTCTGAGAAGCACACTAAAAACGGGCCCTAACACCTCATCGAGGTTGATGAACTTGAACCTTGCAAGAGCACATTGTGCGACAGATCCCCTGTATCTCCCTGCACCGAGTTGTGAGCATGGATTGAAAGTCGACGAAAATGAAGTCGAGCACCCGATCCTGCCAAACACTTTCTGCGTTGCAACTTGTCACATCGTGCCGAGTGGGCGCCTCGGCTTCTTCCAAGAAGGGAACTACCTGAGCTTGCCACAGTCCGGCGACCACAACGCTGCAACCACTATGCAGTGCTGCCAAAGTGCGCGGCATGTGACAAATCGAACAGGCTCAGGCCAGGACCCTTAGAAATGTTGGAGGAAAGTATGCCAGATAATGCCTGTCATCGGGGGATGACTAAGTTTTAGCACAGGCGGCTACTCTGCGGCTAGGGCCTTGTCTGTTGTTCTTGCAAGCATCCCTTAGAGTACTTAAAATGTGGCAGGCTTGCCCCCGCTGGCTTGCGGTTTCAAAGCGAAGCCTGGGTTGCGAGAGTGCTCGGCTTAGGCAGGTAGCGAGATAGTGCCTCAGAACTCGGGTCATGCTGAGTTTTGGACGCGCCCTCGCATATTGGACTGGCCTCATCTCAAGCAATTCCGTGGCTCTTTGTCATCAGTTGATCCCCTCCTAGTCATTGGCATTTCACCGACGTACACATACTGCAGATTCATTGCCATACATGGTAGCCGACGAATTTCGCAACTGAGCTTGGCTTGCGGCTTTGGTGACAAAGTTGACGCTATCGACCTCTATGTAGAAACTTCATGATGCAACTCGACATGCAATACGAGATGACTGTGCCTACACAGCAACACTTAGACTGCGGTGTAGGACAAGCAGCAAGGCCAGCATACGTGTGCCGTACAACATTGGGCGATTGCCGCTGCCGGCCCGAAAACACCAATATACCCGACACCACCCTCACTAGACGGGCGCCGTAAAAGTCGCAACACGCAGCTGCGTGTGCAAATTCGCCATAGCTCATCGCGCAGACATGTAACTTGTCAGAAAGTGCAATGGCGAGGCAGATGTGCACGAAATAAGGAAATACTTGTGACGTCACTCCAAACGAAGGTCGGCATGCTGCCAGTTGCTCCTGACACGCTGCGAGAAACTAGTGTCGATCTTTCACGGTGCAGACGACACGTGCGCACTGCGCAAGAGTAATCTAAACATGAGTTAGTGTCTGTGAATCAATCATTTGCATGGTACCTGGGGGGGGTCCCCACCTCTTTCAGATAAGGTCTCAGACACGCATTTGACTTCCGCATACTTCCGCAAGCTATACAGGGCTACAATTTCGCTGCGCTAGTAATTAGCTGTTACTGTGATGGGCACGATATGCACCACGACCAACACGACATAACACGACCTACATCCGGCCATTGCTTGCTCGATCTCTGCTCGCTTCGTTGACTATTTACTAGTTACTAGCCTTCCAGGGATGACAAGCGTGTACTCCAGTGAAGCTATGCTGCCAGCCTTCTGCCCCTTGTTTGCGGGCGCAAGACCTCGCTAAAAGTCCCCTCATGTTTGTGACACCCGTCCGCAACAAACGCCAGCCCTCTGCGCTTCAGCTGCCTGAGACGCATGCGGACTTCGCTGCCTTGCGCCAAACGGATCAATGCTGCACGTGCCCCTGTATCCGTAGCTACGGTGCTACGAGCAGTCGCCTAATCTAAGTGCCTCTGAAGACAGATTGCCGAAGGCTAAGCTTCTGGCCGGCCGCGCCCGCAGTTTTGGCCTTCTGCGGGTCGAAGGCGATGTTGAGGCCACCAGCTCGACCTGCAGCCGCATGCCCAACGCCGTGGGATATCGCCTCTTCACCAATTCAAGTCGTAAGGATGGGGCCGGCCGCAGCCCCTCTCTTGTCGCCACGTGCTTTGGACCCAAGCCCGCGTATTCGGCACATGTTGTTCACCTGCACCGTCGTGCGGCTTTCGGCAGCTCAGCAAAGTCACGTGCAATGACCACCACAAGACATGCCACATTGCTAGTCACTGCGAGCAGTGATTGGATGCTGCCTCCGGCAGCCACCACAATGCGAGCTTGGTTCCAGTGAAGAACGTCTTGAAATCCGCATCCGGTGCATCTCCTCGAGACGGACGCAACAGCGACCGGAAGAAGACGCTTGAGCCTGTAACCACCGGTATGGGGGACCTCTGGAGTGAACGACAACTCGGCGGCCTAGACCTGAAGTGCAGAGCCGTCTCACTCTGAAAAGAATCCCGGGCCCGCGGGCAAAGGCTAAACTCACATCGCACAATGCTACCGTGAGCGTGAGCCTCGGATGAAGCTCTCGGGATGACCGACGGGCTGCATCATGAATCTGAGATCGGCAGGACACATACGTATCAACTCGTGCCAGTCGGTACTACGCAAGCTTGGCTCTGCACTCTTTGGGTATCTCCACCCTTGGAGCCGATCTGGGCTTTGCCTGAGCCTTTCGTTTCCTGTTGCACGGTTTCTTCAGCTGCTATGACTTCAGTGGCTATTTGTGCTGCGACTAGTCCTGCCAGCAGTGCGACCATAAGCATCATGAAGCATCGGAGGGGTGTCAGCACTTTAATCTGATGTTGAAACCAAGTCCCACTGGCAGGTCCTGCTTGAAGCTGCACGCTGCAAGTCGTAGGTCTCGCGCCTTGCTGCCGAAAGTTGACTGACAGGCGATCAGGGCTCTTGATCAAGTCAGCACATGGCTTGATTGGATTTGTCACGATCTCGTAGGACGTGTTCAGCAACCGAATCTTTTCCTCACTGGGCCATGATACAAGCACTGCAGAAGCTGTCACGGAGGCAGAGATCGCACCTCTGCGGCCTCCCGGTCGGCAGGGTTTCGATCTGGATGCCATTGAAGCACCAGGCGGCCTCGAGTGAGCGAAGCCCGGGCACGGAGCCGCCAAATACACCTCTTAAGACCATTCAGACAGGTTTGGGTCAAGTCACGGTATGCTTTCTTGATTGTTGCCTCATCGGCGTCCTTCAAGGCTTCAACGCTGCAGTGTGCGAGCACAAAGGCTCGGAGTGTCGGCGCTGAAGTCCTCATGTATCTCAAGTGCTGCATAGTAGTCGGGCAGCGCCCTTCGAAGCGTGGGCGCTGTCATGGCATCTCTCTGAGACTTCCTTGAACAAGATGGGTGGGTTTTGCAGGTGGAGGAGCGGGATGTACACCTCTCCGTCTGGTGGTCTACATCTTAAGTGGCTGAAGGTGGTCTACGAAAGTGAGCACTGACAAGTCAGACGTCAGAGAGTTCTTGATTGTCCTGTTAGGTTGTTGCGGCAGGTGATCCAACTTCGAAAAACTACACGAGGTTGCTCCACGATGCTTGCTTCGTCTTCTCATTAGCTGGTTGACCAATCTCCACTTCGTCACTCACTGCACCATAGAACCAACCAACTACATTGTACCCCCGCCCTCTTTCCCATCTTGCCGTTTGATTACAAGGTAATCAAATGCCAACGATATGCCCCCACACACAGACACATGCACACACACACACAGTACAAGAGTCATGTCACATGTATGCTAGTATGAAGCAGCATGACAACGCAACTCTGTTTCCTCACAGTGCACCGAGTTTCTGCGAGGAGGGGAAAGCCACTGGCATGGCCACGAAACTGAGGCTGTTCAGACTGGGCTTCCCGTTTGGTCAGCACTGACGCTTCTAAATCTCCGTAAGTGTTGTTGTCCAAAAACGGGATCTTCGTCTCAAAGAGCTTCTCGAGTGCAGCTTG